GTGATGAATGAATCGGGTTTACCGAATTTCCTCACAATTGTCATCGCGTCTTGATAATGTTGTAGCCTATTCCGAGGAGATCCTGCGAAGGATGATGGATGAATCACCATTTTGCCGACAGTGCTATTTGTCTCATTAGCTGTTTGTTGCAAATGATCCATTAATCTTTGGTAACTATCAACACGAAAAGTTTTTTGATTGAATCTACAAAATTCAGTCTATCTTGTTCCATTTTTACGTAACTGTCAACAACCCATTGCTGGAATAATCTATCACCCATCAAAAATATATTGTCATCTCGAACAGCCATTCTGTATCTAATATAGGCAGCTAGTGTAACTCGTCTAGCCTTATTGACGCAGGGCATATCGGCGTGCCAACTGCTCGTGCCGTATGGATAAAATAATGGATAGACTTAAGGTTCCACGTTACTATCGAGAGAACTAACATTTTGAAGGCTTTTTGTGTGTTTATTATAGATTGTTACATAAGAATCGGGAATCTCACCATCAGCAGTGGTGGTAAAAATTGCAGCGACTTCGTTGATTCTCTGCAAGTTATATCGTCCTCGATCAACTAGTGATTTCAGTGAAAATAACAAGCGCATTCCCGGTTCAGTTTCGGTATTTGTATCTATCATCGATTATTGTAGTGCCTCATGCATCATTCGGTAAGACTGAGCGAATATATTAAATTCACGAAGAGCGTTATCTATAGCTTCTATAATCTCTGCATTCAACGTAGACATCTGATTACAGCGAACATCAACAGCCTCGTTTTGATCAATCATGAAAAGTTGACCGTGTGAAGGAGTCTCATTTTCAGAAGGATAAAAAGATGTATTAATTTGATAATAAATTTATCCATGTATCTTGAAACAATAGGGACCACTTCGCTGATTGTTGATGTTAACTAAATTGGCATTAAATGATGCGAAGGCGAATGCACTATTATAAGAACGTATTCGATCAAGAAAATGCTTGGATGCTTCTTGACTGCCATTGAATAATCTTTTCAGGATGCTTGCTGGATCAGGCAATGGGTCGAGGAGAACCTCACCATGATTACAACAGTCATTGAAGGATTGTGCCTTCTGCGCGAGCATTTCAGCCTTGAAGTGCTTTGCCCCACAATGTGAGCATACAATATCCATTTTACCAATATAATGTTCATTGACATCTGGAATGACAATATTGTTATTGCTGTTTTGTTGATGTACGTGGTCGTTAGTAATCGAATCCGGGGTATGTTCCTGCTCCTCTTCAATGGATTCGATTATTTCGATTGCACTCATTTCATTATTTGTTGATAGTACATCATTGATTATTGAATCAATATTGTTTTTGTGAACTCTTTGGCGATCCAATCGTTGCTTATTGGCTGCCGTTTCACGTGGAACTTGAACGAATTCTTCTTGGCGAATAGTCTCATTATTTTGAATTTCAGGATGTTTCTCTGAGCGATGAATAGAATCTATTACATCTCCGCTCGCTCCAGCCACTACTTCGTTAGTGTGGTTGGTTACAGTCAATTGTGAAAATGTACAACCATTGAGGTTTCCAGAATCATGAAAATTACTTTCCTCTGGAACATTATGATCGCCAGGATTTCTATATTGTTCCCGGATCCTCTCACGATAAGCTCGTTGTCGAGCTGCATTTTTTTGACGTTTCAATCGCTGAAATTCTCTTTCTTCTACCGAAGATCGTACAACTTTACGTTTAGGCATTATGATCAATGTTCATAAGTTCAAGTATTTGTATTTAATGAAGTAAATATATTCTATGATTGGTTTCAACTATAAGCTTGGATTTGGATCTGTTTAATGTCTGTGAGAATTTGTATCTGGTATCTGTTGAAATTGGGTTTCTGAATAAGGATAAGGTCCTATTGAGGTTGCTTCATTGACCTAAATCATATACACTGTAAAAAGTATGAGTGTGTTGTATTTATTTCATAAACAAGTCAATATAATACAGTCATTCATACTTTACATAAGCATTTATGGGAATAAGATTTGTTTGCATCAAGAAATATCCAAAGTACCCAATGGAGAGAAATCCACTCCTGGCTGACTGGCTGCAATCAACAGAAACATAGAAAAAGTGATGAGTTATTGTGTCTTATAGTTCTTGAATATTTGTCTTGGAAAGAAAAATACTCACACTTAACAATCCAGACTATTCTCGGACAAGTTACTGCATTTAAGCTGATCTTTCGACACTGGAAAAAAAATTCTTTTTAAACTCGTATCTTAAACTCTGTGCTTCAAACGTAAACAAAATTCTCGTCAAGATAGTGACATTTGAAATTTTGGTGTATATTAGAATTTCTGAATTTGTTTTGTTATTGCTGATGAAAATTTCGAGGCTTCGAAAAATTGTGATTCAAAGTAGCTCATCGATCGACACTGTCGACAGTACTGACCGCACTTATTGATTGGGAGACTTTCAATCCTTGAATTTTCTCTTATAATTCTACTAAAATGCAGGAGAAAATTTTGAAAAAATCATAGATAGTCAGCGTCATCCAAATAATTTTTTTCGACACATTAATTTTTGTTCAAAAAGTTTTTTTAAATCAATAAATAATGGATTTTTTTAACTGGATGGTTGATCATGTTGTGTTATATATCAAAAAATTTCTGTATTTTTTAATATTTTTAGTCAAATATATGAATTTCTTGCCTTCAAGCACAAAGAAATGGTGGACTTTCGCATAAATAGCACGCTGGATAAAATGCTGATTTTTCGAAAAATGAAACGATAATAAAATCGAGTGAAACATTGTCCGACGATTCTTTATAGATTATAAAAACCTTTAAATTTTATAAAGCTGATGAGATATTTTAATTGTTCAATTTACGGATAAGACCGAGTGCAAAGAATCTGAATGGAGAATTAACATAACCTAACAACTCTGAAAAACGATTGAATTTTCTTAATTTCCGTCCAGAAATCCGCATTGAACAAAGATAGTGTTCATCATAAAAGTTGTTTTTTATATGCAATCAATTAGAAAACGCGTAAAAAAGGGTGATTACTCAATTTTTATAACATGCATAGCATTGCAATTTGTATACTTACAGTTGAATGTCTCTGAGAGCCGCTGTTGAACTATGCAATATTCACTAATTCACTGATACTGAATATCTTATAATTCATTAATATAAATGTTATTAAATAGAAGTATCACACGAAATTGTATTTTTTCGGGTAAATGTCATAAACTGTCTGGATGATACGCTTGAAAGATGAACGGTTCAATGTAGTTCAACAGAAATGATGGAGTTCATGAAATATGCCCATACGCGATGGGCATTTTTCATGAACTCCAAATCGTGCGATATTGAACAATGATGGATTCGTGTTTTCCAATCAAAACTGTTTTGAAAACAAATTAATAAGATATTAGAATCTATTCACGATAGAATTTTTCTGATAATTCCATTGGAAAGCTAAGGGAATTTTAGATGAAAAACATGTGTGAGAAATGATTTTTTGAATTTATGATGATTTAATTTTTTTGGCCACGATTTGAACGATTCTCCTCTTGCCATTTCTCACAAAATTTTGTTTCTTGGTAATATCGCCGGCTCTATCAGCCGCAGCGACCTAGGTGTGGTCTTAAATAAAAAGTGGGCTCACTCGCCGGCGATTCACGTGTTTGAAAAAATTTCCCCATCTATTTTCGGTGTACTTATAAGGCAAAAATTGATTTTGGGAAAATGGTCCATAACTAATTAAAAAGTCAATGGAAACCCTTATACGACCACATAAATGGATGGTGAATAAGCGCACCTGCCATTTGAGACCACTCTCAAGTTGCTGTGACTAATAGAACCGAATATATTTTCGAAAAATTGAATTTAAAAAAGAATGACCCTTCCAAATCATGACCAGCAAAATTGAATTTTTAAAAAACCCAAAAATCATTTCTGACACTTGTTCTCCACTTAAAATTTCCTTACCTTTCCAATGGAATCATCGAAAGAAATGCACTTCAACCATTTCATTCTAATATTCATTTTGCCTACCTTACCCTATATTAAATGTAATAAAAATTCGTTGAAAAATCGATGAAAATTCATTTTCTTTCTTGACTCATTAGTGAGTTGGTCATGAATGGACTAATTATTACTGAACATTGTATTGAGCAAATCACTTGAATACCCTTGAAATTGTATTATTTGGTCAATCATGTTTAATAGTTTATTACACATTTGGTTATCAATATTTTTCTCTTATCTATAACTATGTGAACAACATACACTTTTGTATTTTTTCATGGCAAAACTTATTAATACTCACAATGTTCCCTAACGATTACATTATAATAGTTGGGCTTTATTTTTACTCTCACTATTTACGTCGCAAAAACTTAGTTTCATCGCAAAAAGTGTACTCATTAAGTTGCCAAACAATCACGCTGCAATAACTTAGAAATTTTTTTTCTTAATTTACGTTAAAGCTGCTTGAACATGTTTTTTTAATGTCCACGTTACACTGCTTTGAACATTTTTGTTTTTTTTTTTTTTCAAGTATAAAACATAATGTTAAGATAATGATAATGACAGAAATATCTCTCTTCTTTGTAACTATACTTCCAATTCAATTTTTTGCAAAAGAACAATTATTTTGTGGAAAAAAAAACATTCAATTACACATCAATACTGTTAAATCGTGCAACTCTTTCCTTAATATAAATAGTAAGAAATAATATTATGAATCACATTCTCTTAAATATTATGTTTTCTTGATATTATAATAATTTCATAATGGAGGTTATAGTTTTTTTTAGTAAAATAATATCAACTCAATGAGTACAGCACAACACAGTCGTAATACACCGTAAAAAATATTATTCAGGCTCATATTTATACTTTTATACGAATCAGTCATCAGTAACCAACTATAGTACGGTTCATTTAAGTGTTTTAAAGAACTAAATTTGGTTTTAAAGAACAGTAAAGTTTGCACACGAATTTGAACAGATAAATATTAATGACCAAAGTTTTCTTTGTCATCATTCTCATCTGTAGTAGGCATCATACATTTGACGTCAGTACTGACACTTCCACTGGAATATCGTTTGTTGGCCTTATTAGATTGCAGGGGATGAATTGCTTTGTTCAAATCTCCAATTGACATTGGCAAGACATCTTCATTGATATCAATATGATCCATAGTATTGACCTTGAAGCATAGTTGACCTGGAACAAAAAAGGAATTTATCCATGAAATCATTAATGAAGTTTTAAAAATAAAAAATAAAAAATAAAATAATAACTCAATAAAAGAATGAAATATTTACTTGGAGGTTTGCTCATGCAACGACGTAGAGTAATATTAACACCCTTTTGTAAGCGAGGATTGTTCAAAAATGAAGTAACACATACGATTAGGCGATGTGTACCATCAGTTACCATTCCCTGGCCAAACTTGAATTTCCGGTTGAGATTTGGACTGGAGGAATCTTCAAATATGCTCGCATCTCTGGAACAGATAAATTGATGAAATATTAATTGGAGAAGAGAGAAAATGAATGCATATGAAGGAGACGCAAAATAAAAAAAACTCACCAACATAACCTTCTGAGTCAAAAACATCCTCGAAGGCTACTGCAGAATATGTTGCCGGTGCAATTGTGCTATCAGGAATCTCACAAAGCCCATGAAAAATTATTTCACTCGATGGCTGAACGTTGAATTCCATGGGAATGATCGTGTCCTTTGCATTTCGTCACTGTGGACTTATTTCTGACAAAGTGCCACCAGTGAGCTCGACAACTTATCCTTAATTGAACTTGGAGAAAAAAACGTGGTAATTGAATTCCTAGCCTCAATTTTTCTTTGCGTGAATATATGATAAAAAATCGATAATAATTGAATAATTACTTACATCATCCTATCCTTCGCAACCCAAGCGTCAATTTCTTCGTTAGAAGAAAATTCATATGGTGAGGATGCCATTATTTAATCTTGTCTTGTCTTGATTTTTAATCGATGCACTGAGAAACACGACACTATCCGTTGTGACAAATGGCGGAAGGAGATCAAGGAGATCGAAGCGACAACAGTCGTTCTAATTATCGAATGACGCACTGTAGCGTTAGTAAGCCGTATGTGAATTTGAAATCTATAAAATTTCCGACCAATGACATTTCATGTTAATGACGGGAATAATCATTGAATCAATTGTTGCGGCCTCCGGGCGGCTGGACGATCGATTATTTCCCAAAAGGCGACCCCCAAAACTAAATTGACCGCGACCAGTTACGTCCAGACGGAGACCAAAGTAAAGTGGACTCGTATTGTGTGGGATAAAACACTGAAGTGTACCACGCTAGGTTACGCAGGAATTCTAATTAGTGAAAGAATCACTCAGAGAGAGAGGGAAAATCTTCTACTGATTAATTTAGAGATGTTTATTGGGGTATTAAAAACACAGGATCGTCACAACAATCCAAGATAAAACCGCTCAATTTGATGGGAGAGGTAGGTAAGACCGAGGTGAAGGAAGAATTACAATTGATTCAAGACTTACAGTTGATGATAAACGGGGGAGTAGAAGGTGCGCGCGATCACTCAGTCAGACCTGGCAGACTCGGCGGTTTCCTCGAAGGTTGAAGGGGTAGGTTTCGGTGATTTCTTGAAGACGAGACGATTCTCGGTCTGTGAAGATGAGATCGACGAACTCGGAGATTCGTTGCGATGGCCTAGGTGTTCAGGTCGTTCACTTGGCAGGGGAGAAGGTGCCGAGCCGGAGGTTCGGCGGCGTAACGAAAGACCCCAATTTTCCGTCAGACCAGGGGTGGCGGCTCGGCTTCTCGTGGACTTCAGATGTCGGATCACTTTATGGCTCGCTCGGCTCTCGTTCACCAACAAAGCGAACGCTTAGTGCAGTTTTGTTACGCTCTTTTGAGGCTGGACTTTGTCAGTGGGTCAGTCAGCAGGTACTTGTCGCTTCGTACAAGTGTTGCCCTTTAAACCCGCAATGAATGAGTCCAGGGGAGTCCTCGGTGCCAATTTGATTTCTTCTTGCTTACGCGGCCCCGGCGTGGCAATTTCTGACCTGGGTTGGCTCAACTAGTCTGCAATAGACTCACGCAGCTCAGGCGTAATTGTTGATGAAGACGGTCTCGTCTTGTAGGTAGGACTCCGCTTCCTCGAGGGTAGCTCGGCTGATGCAGGTGAAGACTGGCGATGAACCAACTTGGTAAATCAAGGAGACTTGACGAAGTCGTCGAAGTCGAAATAGTAGTAGACTAAGAAGTGATCTTTGCGGGTTGGGGCGGGATCAAATATACCCTTGGTGGAGATCATCCCCCACCTAAGCCCGCGACCGTTATTTTTCAGAGGAATCAATCGATATGCCGGGATTAGGCACTCATCATGGCGGTCCGTCTCCGGGAATTCGGGAGTTCGTTGTCTTGTTCTGAGAATCGGGAAAACCGTTGACAGCTGCGATCGTGGATCGGGTGGTGTGATCTCCGTATTCCCGATTTTTACGACGTTTCGGCCTATCAGCGAAATCCTGTTGATTTTGGGTCCATTGTGGGAGAGGGGTTGCGCTTCCTGTCACCCACCTGTCGGCCTTAAGGGCCTTTCAAGGGCGGGGGTTGTTGCAGAGCGTTCGCTCCCTCCGCGTGTCAAATCCGCAGCGGGCGTTCAGCCATAGTGCGTCTGGTGCCGGGCTCCATGTCGTTGTTTCGCGGGCCGTCGTGGCGCCGACTTGGCGACATAATTTTCATTAGGCTGACATTTACAACCCGGCTTACTGGAGGAGTCGAGACGCCTCGTACCGTTTTCAGGTTTCAACCTGGGTCCAGGGGGGTGCACTCTTGTGTACGAGGGGCATGAGTCATCCCCCGCATGTTGGCAGCTGTTCCCAAAAACCGTTGGGGAATTCCAAGATTACGAGAAAGGTCAAGAAATACCGCGGGATCCGCAACACAATCATAAACAAATTTTTATTCATTTGATTCAGTAATTCGATCCAATAATTAATAGTATAATAATGCGATGGCAATTACAATTATAATAATGATAAATCATGTACTGTAACTTTTTTTCATTCGACGGTTGAAACTTACTGATTCAACTGACGTTTAAAACTTTCTGACCAATGAGGAATAGGCGTTACGCGTGAAGTGAGCGCCGTTATACCCCCGAAGTTAGCCGAACTGTTTGTCCCTTTTATAATAGGATAGCGAAAGGAAGTAATTCATCCCAATCCTTTTCCTCATTACTGTGTACCTTGAGGTATTCCACAAGCACGTGATGACTCCTCTCTAGAGCCCCATTTGACTGGGGTCTGTATCCAGAGGTGGTGACATGATGGAATCTCAAAATTCTACTTAGCTGGGCAAACAACTTGCTAACAAAACTAGTCCCCTTGTCTGACAGCACGACTTTAGGACATCCATATTGAGCGACATAGTGTGTTGCAAACGCCTGAGCGATGGTATGAGCCTTGATGTCTAGGAGTGGAACTGCTATACAGTGTTTGGCAAAGCTATCGTGGATGGTCAGGATATGTTTGTTCCCATTCCTGGTTGTTGGAAGAGGACCCACCGTGTTGATTGCTACTCTGTCGAAACACTCACTCGGGGTCTCAGTGATAAGCATGGGTTGCTTGAATTTCACCCTTCGGATCTTCTCCAACCGGCAGGTTTGACAAAACGTTCCACTTCTTGGTTCATCCCTGGCCAATAAAAACCATCCCTGATCCTGTTGAAGGTTTTGACTATACCTTTATGTCCAGCCGAAAGAGTTTCATGGCATTCTCTTATCATTTCGGGTCTTAGAGCTGGTGGTGGCATGCTTATTGTGCCATGGCATAAAGTGATAATGACCGGAAAATGCCTGAATTCCTTCTCTAGGAAGTACCGGATCCTTATGTCGTGGTCAATTTCATCTCCACTATGTACCATCTTCAATTCATCTACCTGGTATCTGGTGATTGTCTCTCCTAGATTGGACAAGCATTTCTTTAAGGCTCCATTTTTCACCTTCTTGAAATGCCATTGTTTGACGAACAAGGTAAATGTTTTGAATTTCCCGCATTTAGTGACGATAACTTGACCTGGTGTTGGCCTTAATTTGCTGATATTTTCTAGGTCGATTAGTCGTAGGTCTCTTAGCAGTTTGGTGTTCTGCTTAGTTGGTTCTCCATCCGCAGCTAGGAAGTGCGCAATATTTCCTCTGGTAAAGGTCAGTCCGTCTCTCGTTTCCAGAATGTTGGGAGCGGACTGATAGAAATCATCTAGAGGAATGATATTCTTATCTGCCCCGGACTCGGGTGATCCTTTTTGGCCCTATTCTGGGCTTGTTGGATATCCGCTAGAAAGTTTGCAGAGGACACGAGTCGAAGTTACTGAGGTTTGTAGGTTTTCCCGAGGTGGGTGGGGACTTTCTAGGATTAATGATGCGTTGCCGTCTTTCGCCGTTCTCGTTAGACCTTCGTCCGTTTTCCGGATTATACCCGACATTCCCTCCCCCGTTGAGATTCTAGTTTCACCCCCGTTAGGGGAGATATTGGCTTTCTCCACGGCTTGTGGAAAAGACGTTTCTTGTAATTCGTCCGTCAGGTCGGTCAACTGAATTGATTGATCTCCATACTCTGCCATTTTCTTGTCAAACAGTAAACTTGACTCATCTAGCTGACACCGAAATTCCTTGCCTAACCCTGTCTTCTTCAATTGAAAGATGGGTGGCACATCGTAATAATCCCAGTCGTGTGTATTCTGATTCCGGGATTCATCCAACTTTTCTCTTTCTTCAAGTTTGCTAATGAATCTGTCAAAACGCTGAAGATTTTCATCAGCAATACCTGTTGTATTCTCTTCCTTTTCTTCATCTTCCATAAGGGTCTCAGCCTCTATCATAGCATCAGCCAAACCATTTTGAGGTTGAGGGGAATTGAAAACATCATCATCCTCTAAAGGTTCTCCTTCTAAGGTGACCTCTAGATCATCCAGGTTATCTACAGTAAGTTTCTAACGGTTTTGTTGGGGTCATGGTAATGCTTTCTGCATCTGATGTTGAAGGTGAAGGTTTGTCCCACGCCTCCAGTTTCTTTGGTGTCTCCTGCATGCCGATGGCTTGAGGCTCCTGATGTAGAGAGCTCCGTCGAACACCTTGCTGCATTTTATTTTTTTCACTAGTTTGATAGCTACGTTTGAGCCGGCAAGAAACTGGTACCCGCTGCCCGCTGCTGATCTCCGTTTCCCTTCGCTCCTGTATTCTGTGTGCGATTGAGGTTCCAAAAATTCTTGATGTTTTGGGGTCACTATTAAAACGAACTGTGAGGCTGGGATCGGTGGTCTTTCTTCCTGATTTCAGAATGGGCTTAAGTACTGCCCCGGCTGGGAGACATGCAATGAGGGCGGGACTGTTAACTTCATTTTGTAGTGGATTTTCTGCAAAGGCATCAGCCAACTGAGCCCGCTTCTGCCTCTTGATTTCCACCTCGAATTCGAAGTCATTCAGAAATGTTTACACTTCACTTGCCTTGTTGTAGGATTACTGGAATCCCTTAGCCAATTTAGAGCTGGTGAATTCGTGATCACGGTGAAAGGAACTCCAAAAATATATGGTTTGAACTGGCTTAACGCATAAATCACAGCCAGGCAGTCTCGTTCTGTTGAGGTATACCTGCTCTCAGCTCCCCGAAGAGTCATTGATGCAAAAAGTACAGGGTGACCATCTCCTTCATTATCTTTCTGGCTGAGAATAACACCGAGACCTCTTTCGGAGCTAGAAACATGTACAGCGAAAAGCTCTCATATCCGGATGAGAAAGTAGTGAGTCCTCTGTGATCGCAATCTTGAGGAGGTTGGAAGCCTCATCCTGCTCCTTTTCCCATTCAAATCCAGTGTTCTTCCTAAGGAGTAGGGTCAGTGGCTCAGCTTTCTCTGTATAATTCTCAACGAACCTTCGATAATAATTACTGAAACCGGAGAATTTCCTCACTCCTAGTTGATTGAGCGGTGTAGGCATGTTTACCAGTGCCTTGACTTTGGACGGATCAGGATGAATACCGTCTTCATTTATTATGTGACCCAGATATGCCACTTCCTTCATGAAGAAGCGACATTTATCTGGCTGAAGGGTCAACCCATTCTCCTTAAGGCTGTCAAAGAGATGTTGTAATCTTTGGCAATGCTCCTCTACGGTGCTAGAATAAACCACTATGTCATCTAGATACACATAAAGTTCCGTTCCCTTCAAACCCGTGAGGGCCTGATTCATCATGCGTTGGAAAAGACGAGGAGAATTTTGAAGTCCAAAAGGCATCCGCACTTATTCAAAGTGCCCATTCGAACCCGAGAAAGCTGTTGTCTCCCTATCCCGCTCATCCATCTCAACCTGATGGAAACCACTTGCAAGGTCAGATACGCTGAAGTATCTGGCTCCTCCAAGCTGAGATATGATCTCCGTGATATCTGGAAGGGGGTAGGAATCGCCGACTGTCTCTTGATTTAATGCTCGAAAATCGATGACTATTCTCCACCGCTTCCTGCCTTGTGAATCCGCTTTCTTAGGCACAATCCACAAAGGTGAATTATAAGGTGATACCGATTGTTTGATGATTCCTTGATCTTCGAGAGCCTGGGATTGCCTGCTGACCTCTTCTTTATACTGCCGAGGGAACTGGTATTGCTTCCGATGGATTCCTTTATCGTCTACTGTCCTGATCTTGCATTTGAAGTTCCTGGATTTACCTAGCTTATCCCCGGGAAGGTGAAAAACATCAGGGAAGGCTATTATTAATTCAAACACTTTTTTTCTTCCGAAAGACTGCAATTCTTGATCAGGGAGGGCCTGTCTCACCGCTCTGGCTCTGCCTTGAACAACATCCTCCTGAGTTAATACTAACCCGCAGAACCCCAAGTTGGGTTCATCTCTTTCATCCTCAAGTGCTACTACTTCCTGAGGAGAAATATTAAGTTCCATAGATTCATCAGTGATGTTGATAGCAATGGCACATGCTATTCCATTCTGTATGGTCACAGCAGCCTGACCTAGATACGCCCCTTCCGGGGTTGATACTGGCGGTAGATACCCTGTTCTTAGTTCTGTACCCACGATGGGGACCGCTATAACCATTCTGGTTCTCGCTGGCAAAACTGTTGAACCCGGAGTCTACTGATATTCATACCAGTGGACTGCGATATTTGGTCTTTTCTTCGTGGTGATGGTTCGCTGGAGATAACGTATATCAACTTTCTCCTTGATCAAAAACTCCAATCCTAGAAGTCCCGAACCATTAACCGGCAGCTTACAGTCTACCACGTGAAAAGGTACTCGTGATCCAAAGATTTTGAAATGGACGAGTCCACATGGGGGGAGGTCATCCTCAGTGACTCCAGTGACGGCGCAGATTACTGGAGGGTTAATCCTTGTGTCAGGTTTAACCACCCTGCTCTCGACAAGATTTATTCCAGCCGCTGAATCGATATGAAAACGATGGCTACCATTTACCAAATTTCTCCTCAAATTCACCCGAGGACCACCCCCGGTAAGGGAAATCCTGCACACTCTCCTTGTCCTTAAATCAGGAAGGCACATGTGGATAGGCCGGGGTAGGTTGTTGCTGAACGTGATGGTCCCCGAATTAAAGGAGATGTGAGCTTTCAACCTGTTCAGCATTTCGTCACCAATGATCGCTTCGAATCCTTCAGGTTGATGAGGAACGATGTGGAATTTGATGCTTACATCCGATTGAATGGGAATCATCACAGTCCGTATGGATTCGATCACATCGTTTGAAATTCCGACTATTCTACAGATTTCAGATGTGTCTATTGGGATGTTGTTAATCAGCGCTTGTCGTGAGATGAGGTTGATTGCAGCCCTGGTATCCACTAAGGCCTCGACAGCACCGGACCTCATGAAAAGTCCCTGAATAAGGATCTGTGGACCCCGACTAGCGCCGCAAAGGACACTATTCTCTAACGGCGGTGGGTGCTGCTCAGAGCATGTGACGGTTGACAACTCTGCTCGCTTACCGATGCACCCATGTGGTGAGCGAGGATCTCGTTTAAATCCTACTGAGAAATGTTTGATACACCATTTTTCCGAGATTTCTGATTTGTCTGATCTGGAATGGTTGGGTACCGTCAACCCTGAGGTTCTCGAGAACCCTTCCGGGAACCAGAACGAGAATTGTCCTGTCGCTTCTGGGTCTTCAGTTCAACAACCAGATCTTTGAGCAGCTGTTTGATCGCAGCCATATGATCTGGTTTTTCTCTACCCAAGCTTTGTTCCTTTGAGAGGCTATGGTTGGTGGCTAGGATTGTCGCAAACTGATTCTTCCGGATTACATCAAACTCCTGATTTTCGGTTGGTAGATGAGAAGGTCCATCCGCCATAGACTGACGAGTTTCATAGGTTAGGTCTTCCCAATTGTCGGAAATCCCAGCCATGTTAATGGGATTAGAGTTGAACGTAGGTGGTGGTATTGTAGGTCGATCCGCGGTTCGATGATACACATTCCTGATATAAACCTGCGAAGAGCCGTTCCGATGATGTCGAGGGATATGCCAGTTTGTGGAAGGAGCTGACAAATCTGTCGGTGGGCTAAGCCCACGCTGGTCATAGCTACTTCTACGACCCCGTTGCTTCTACTCGGAGTTCGCGTGGAAGGCAGATTTTCGTGCCGGTCTAGGAACTGTTGATGAACAGGATACCGCAGAATGGGCGACTGACCCGACTTGGAAGCATACCCATAAGGACCCGGCTGATGCCTGGCCGGGGAATTAGTCCAGCCCCCGTTGAATGTTTGAATTGAGGGATATTCCGTGACATATCGGTATTGTTGATTATCAGGAATTTCTGGAGCTGGCAAGCTAGTAGATGGTCTACACTCCTTAGCATCCATTAATTTGGCAACATCCCCAAGATTCTTGCACTTAGCTCGAGGGATGGTTTCCTTGAGTGCGGCTGGAGCATACTGCTTGAAACGGGCGAGGGCTTCTCCATTGAAGTAATCTTGGAATATTCTTTTGTCTTCTGCAGTTGAATTTTCCAGAGCTGCCAACCCAAATTGCACCAATGCTGCCAAACGATCCAAAAAACACTCCAGCGGTTCATTTGTAAATTTAATTAATCCGCGAATTTGATTAATATAATACGTAAGGTCGTATTGCCCTTGAAATCTTCTAACCAAGATTTCCAGAACATCTCCTACAGAGTTTAATGGTTTGTTAGCAACAGCGAACTTGGCAGGAGGTAAAAGCCGCTTAAGAATGTGATAAATATATTCTTCCTTTTTCCCGTCTGTTATAGGGATGGATGGCAGATTTGCGCTAACGGCGTATTCAAACTCCTCCAAGGACGCGTGTTGAGCTGTTCCGGAAAAAATTGGAATACTGTTTGCAATATCACGGGCTTTGACATAATCCCCGTGACTCCCGGCGAATTGCCCAGGATCGGCGGTGGAGTTTCCAGTGAAAGTTATATTAATAGAATTATCGTTAGGCATGATTCCAGTTTATAAAATTTAATCGCAACTCAAATCAAATGTAAAAATCTTAATAGAAGATGAATTTTTCAAATTTCAGACGAAATAGTAATTATTTGTTATTATTTTAACAAACGTTGATTTAATGAGTGTAAGGACTACTGAGAAATCTTGGTTGTCCTACCGACTGCGCCATGGAATTTTAGCTGTTATGTCTGAAAGAGCTAAAATTGTTGTTGAGGGTTTTGGATATGTTTTCTTTTTTTTTTATTTGTTATTCAAAAAAAAAACAATTGATTAAAGGCGGAGAATCAGGGGTGCTGAAGGCAATTAACACGTTTTTGAACACTGCTCTTATTCTGAAAATCTGGTACATTTATTTATTCGATGACAGATTTTTACACGAGTTACAGAAAGAAAACAAATATATCTAAACAACATTTCAATTAAAGATACCCCCTGGAATCTTTCTTTAAATCTAAGACACTTCTTTCTCGTGTTTAATTGAAGCGTACTCACGCAATATTTGTATTTCGTTGATATGAACGTTATCTGATTCCTTTTTCTTTTTATGCCAGGTCCCTCGGTTGTCCTGCTTTCTTTCGTTACCAGAGTTAAATAGGTTAAACTCTATTATGACTACTCGACCAGTCAGGAACGTTCACACACTCGAATTTAATTTATGTGTTTGTATTGTAGAAATGTTTGTTATATAATTTCGGGTTTATTAAGTCCCTCACAATGAGAGTGCTCACACAGCACAAGTTGCAAAAACCTCTTATTCGTATGAGGTATAGCGGGCCCGAATTTAGGAAGTTTTTCCCTGATTAATCCAATCCGATGCTCATCTACTTCGTTTTCGGTAAGTTACCACGCACAAGCTTTATAATTTAAATAAAAGGTTGTATGGGAAGGATTAATTTTTCAGATCAAGTCCCGGTATCACTCCACCAAGGTTTTAACAACTCCGCGTATGTTTACAAACTGATTTTACCATTCGATTTTTGAGAGTTGATCGCGTTGGAGTTGGTTTTTGTGGCGGTTTTTCATTAGTGGAGGGATTTGAGCTGATCTTGGTTTTTCAATTCTCGCGGGTGGGGCAGTTTGTTGGTTCAGCGCTTTTAGCACTGCCAGCGTTCCACTTGTTGCTTGCCCTGCCCGCTCAGCTGTTCCCACGGCCCATTTCCAATCGGACCGCGTGGCGAAACAGCTGACGGTTCGCAAGTACGCATTTTTTTTAACGTGGAGCAATTCGCTTTGCCCTCAATTCTTTTGGACATTATAAATTTCAATGTCATTTTGAAAATCATTTTGAAAAATGTTCAAAATTTTTCGAGAAAAAAGTTTGTTAAAATAGTATTTCTCGGGTCAGAATAATCAGGCAAAATAAAACATAAACGACATACTTGATCCAGAGTTTGCAAATGAACTAATATTATTGCCGACAATTCAAAAGTTAGTTTTCGCCTGATAACCCCTAGTAAAATGAAGTGCCCCTAATAACGTGAATTTTTGCAATAACAATTTTCATGAATATGGAAGCAAAATCCTATGGATTTTTCTATCTGACTGTGTTGTGAATGGATTAAATTGTGTTGGGCGTGGTTGGGTCTCGGGACACCAATGTATACTGGGTGTCCGAGAAGTACCTCCCGATACTGAACCGGCATGTACAGGGGGTGAGTCTAAACCATAAATTCCTTTACCACTTTTGGAACGGAAGCACCCCTCCGGAGATACTGGGGTAAACAGGACAGCCAATGACGCTGCCGCGTTAAACGGCAAT